ATGCTCTCATTTCCCGAGTTGTGCTTTTAAGTCGGAATGTGAAAACAACATGGACACTCTCGCTACTACAAAGATGTGTTGGATTTGTATTATTGAGCTTTCCGACTTGAGTTCACGTGCCTTTTCTCAGTGGGGAAATAATTTTTCATGTGCGGTGCTGGTGATGATGCTTCTACGTCCGTTTCAGAGAACCAGAGGACAAATATTTCAATCGATCGCTCAGGCATGGCACCGAAATGAGGCACCGAAATCTGCATTCTGATTCGGTTCTAGTACATACCAGTTACATGGGTACCGGTACCATATTGGTACCGGATTTCGGTACCCAACCCTAGTAATGAGAAACTTTCTTGTAATAAGAAACTTTCTCGTAATAGTGAATTACTTTCTTGTATCAAATGAGAAACTTTCTATTACTTCTATGCATGCACAAAACGAGGCGATGTGATCATTATGGAGCGCTACACTCTTGTGCAGTCTATGTTTCATTTATACTCAAAGCCGGAGGGGGATCTCACACAGAAAGTCCAAAACGGACTCATAGTAGTAATAATTATAACGTGCAAGGAAATCCCTAATATGGACAAAGGCAGCTGTCACTCTAGCTAAGCTGAATAAAAAGCAGAAACGTTTTGACTGATGAAACTTTAAGACAATAAACACAATTTTGACAATATATGGTTTATGTGTGATTTTCAAGTCATCTCCAGGTAATAAATAAAGTATATGAATAGTGCAGTGCTAATTGACATATAATTATAGCATAGAAACTAATACATATTTTCTGCCTTATTCTGTGATTTAAAAAAAAATGGAAAAATGGAAAAAGTGTTTGTAAAGTGACATGTGGCCAAGTATGGTGAGCCATATTTGGAATTAGTGCTCTGCGTTTAACCCATCCAAAGTGCACACACACAGCAGTGAACACACACACACCGTGAGCACACACCCGGAGCAGTGGGCAGCCATTTTTTTGCTGCGGCACCCGGGGAGCAGTTGGGGGTTCAGTGCCTTGCTCAAGGGCACCTCAGTCGTGGTATTGAAGGTGGAAGAGAGCGCTGTACACTCACTCCCCCCACCTACAATCCCTGCCGGTATGAGACTCGAACCCGCAACCTTTGGGTTACGAGTCCGACTCTCTAACAATTAGGCCACGACTTCCCCGAAGTTGTAGTATATAAAACAATCATAAAATTGTCATTAGGAAAGTATAGGGGAAAAACAATATTAAAGAATACAAATTATTGGTTATTGTGTTATAACCAATTGGTTATTGACTTAGCCAATTAAAGGTAAGAGATAATAAAATAATTAAACTTGTCAATTAGGCCTAAATAAATAAATAAAGTTTCTGTCCCCCTCACTTCTGAAATGATGGTTATGCCCCTGCTCAACAGGGGCTAGAACGGGCTTCCATAAAAAGTGGAATCTGAGATCCGGAGTTTGTAACTTACTGATTACTTGGTAATGAATTTTACAAACTAAAGTCATTTTGAAATGTGGCTTTCACAAGGTTATCATTAATTCAGAATTTATCAATTTTAGCTAATATATTGGTGAGAGGGCTACATTTATAATAATCAAGCCCTTTTGCAGGGGTGTCGAAAATCATCAGTTTTAAGTCAGCTTTAGACCTTGCTTAGCTTGTTCAAGTGTGTTTATTGGGGTTGAAGCTAAACTCTGCAGGACAGTGGTCCTTCAGGAGCAGGATTGGACACCATGTTCTAATGAAACTGGATAAAGTGGAATTTGTAATTTAATGCAGAACACTATAACAGAACACAATGGCTAAGCTGCCATTAAGATAAATTAGAATGCTAACAGGAAACTTTCAACTTGTTTTTTATAACCTGTTTTTACTTCTCTCCCTTAAGGTATTGCACAGTTGCATCCACGCACTGAAGGGGGTTACAGGGTGCCATACAACCCAGAAGCCACAGGTTGTGGGGCAGCTATGAGGTCCATGTGCATTGGCCTTAGGTGAGGGTGAAACATGTTTTCTTTTGTATTTTCACAGATATGTGGTAGTAATGTTGTGGATATCTAATTGTCTTTGCTTCAAAGATATCCTCGTCCTGATCAGCTGTCCTTACTGGTTGAGGTTGCTGTGGAGACTGGAAGAATGACCCATCCTCATCCAACAGGTTTCCTTGGAGCTGTGTCTGCAGCCTTGTTCACCACTTATGCAGTCCAGCGAAGACCAATCACAACCTGGGGTGCGGGTTTATTGGAGGAGGCTTGTCCTGTCGCAAAAACACTTGTTAAGTCTGCAGGATATGCTGTTACAGAGACTGAGAGAGACTGGGACTACTTTACTGGAAAATGGAAATGGTAAGAAGCTGAATTTAACACTAGAACCGCCAGAGGTCACTGTATACCTAAAAGCGCCAGCGGGTAAATTTTACCCATGCACATGACAACTGTATTTATATGGCTAAAGAACATATTATTTCACTGTATTATGCCACTGTCTTCACAAAGAAGTGTCTAGAGTCATGAAATGATTATGTCTAGTCATCAACTATATTTTTATCCTGTTGTTTTATGTTCAAGACTTTTTAATGCAGGCTACACTAATCCATAACAATCAGTAGCCTAAGCTTAAAAAAAAATAATAAATAAATAAATAAATAAAGCCTGCACTGACAACGGAAATTAAAAACTTTGGGTAATCAAAAAATGGTTTTATTCATTACATCATATAGGCTAGATCAGATTTTTTTATTTTTCTTCAGGAAAAGGCCAGACTAGAATAGCAACGCATTAGCGAACAATAAACGATATGGCAAGACAAAAATTTTATAATTAAACCAAAGTTTGACCAATTAGAGTAACGTTTGGCTGGAAACATCTAAATATGATGTCTGGATCACTGTCAGATGAGCCGTCAGATGCTGAGCCGACCCAGGACAGTGTTAGGCTAAAACATGTAAATATGATATCTGGATCACTGTCAGATGAGCCGTCAGATGCTGAGCCGATCCAGGATGCATAACTTACCATCAGACTCTCCATCACG